CGCCCGGCTCCGCCTCTTCCAGCAGCCAGGAGTCGCTGCGCCCCCCGGCGGCCGCGGTGGCGCTGGCTGCGCGGCCCTCGCGCCTAGAGACGCTGCGCCTGCGGCTGCGGGGCACCGCGGACGACATGGCCGTGCGCCTGCGCCGCCCACTGTCCCCCGAGACGCGGCGACGCCGCAGCAGCTGGCGGCGCCACACGGTGGTGGTGCAGAGTCCGCTCCCCGACCTCAACTTCAACGAATGGAAGGAGGTGGGCGCGCAGGGCACTGCGGGCGACAACAGGGACTCGGGGCTCAGCAGCCTGGAGTCCACCAAGGCGCGCGCCTCGTCCTCTGCCGCCTCGCTGCCCCCTGGGGACCTGGGCAGCCTGCAGGGCATGACTCCGCGCCTGGCCCCCGCCTCCCGCCTCCACCCGTGTCTCTGACCCCGCCCGTCCCCTGCACTCTGGGTCCCTGGGCCACCCGGCCAGGGCAGGAGGGCTGCAGGTCACCCCTAGTTTGCGCTGGAATGGGGGCCAGGGGAGTCCGGAATGGAGAGGGAGGCGTCTGGGGTCTGTGTCCCCGGGTGTGTGACCGAGTGGGCCCTTCTGTGTCTACCCTGAGGGACCCTTGTTGACCCTGGTGGAACATGGGTCTGGAAGCCCCGGGTTTCAGCCTGCCTTTCTGCCTCCCCCCACTAAGGTGGGGTTGGGCGTGAGAAGGTGGGCATCCAAGGGGTGCAGGGGCTTGTGTGTATGGTTGTGTAGTCGCTGTCCAAAGATGTTTCTGGTGGCAATTCGGGCTCCCCTGCCCCAATCCCCCAAGGTCCTTTGGGACACTCAGGGGTCTGTCCCTACACCTCCTCAGAGCCAGAGAAGGGGTTGGGCCACAGACACAGGACTGAAGCCCTCACCAAGGTCACATCCCACAAACCCTTTTGCCAACCTTCATGTCACCCCAGTCTGGGGAGAAGCTGATCCTAGCAGTTTGAGGAGGGTCCGGGGTCTCCCTGCCTGTACCCTCTCCTTCTTTTTGTTTTATATGGGTGTTTTGTGTTTTGTTTGAGGTGTGGGGGACAGGATCTCGCTCTGTAGCCCAGGCCGGCCTTGAATTTATGCAGATCTGCCTGCATCAGCCTCCTGAGTGCTCAGATTACAGGTGTCCTGCAACTCACACGGCCACCGCCCTCCATTTTGCTCTCCCAGCTGTGCCTGCTCTTCCTCAGCTCGGGCACAGGGACCAGGACCCCATCTTTTTCCCTAGAGAGGGAGGGACAGTCACCAGCCCCTTGGCATCTCTGTCACACTGATTTACCAGGGTCCGAGCTGGGTGTCCCTGCCAGGTGGGTGGGACCCAGTCCCTTTTGTCCCCCTGCACTGTACATAGACCCCCAATCACCAGGCCCTCAACGTTCCTTCACTCATTCCAGGGAAGCTCCATGGGTCGCAGATGGGCCCCCCCACTCCCACCCCCGTCAGTCTCTCCTTTTCTGCAGATTTGCTGTAGACTTCCATTGCCTGTCCTCTTACTGTAAATATTGTCTCTAAATGTGTAACATATTATAAAGAATTTATAAGAATTTTTAAAGATGTTTTTCTCATTTAAAAAAAAGTGTTGTAACAGTGTTGGATAAAGGCCCCCCACGTACGCATGGCTCCTACCACTGTGTCCCTGACACACCGCTCTCGGCGACAACTAAGACTTCTTGCTTCCCAAAAGTCCTGTCTTACAAGTACAGTCTTTATCTTGGAAATAAACGGCCTTCCTGAGTCAGCAGTCTCACTTGCTTGGGAGCGAGGAGGGGACTGAAGGGTCGGGCTGGGTGGCAGGTGAGGTATGGGAAACCAGCTGGGCTGGGTAAATACACCCTTTTCCCCCTGGTGGCTTTTTCCAAGTGTCTTGGGAGACTTGTGTGGTCTCACTGTAGCCCAGGCTGGCCTCGAACTTGTGGAGCTCCTCATGCCTCAGCCTCTCCAGTGCTGGGATGACAGGGCTGGGCCACTATGCCTGGCCTTGGATCTGCCTCCTGAACAGTGAAGGGAGCCTTGGAACTGAAGGGAAGGTCTATGGGCATCCGAAGGAAGACAGCATCAGCGAGGCTGGCAACAGAGATGTTAAGAAACAAAACATTTTAAAATTTTGTTATAGGGTCTCACTATGCAGTTTAGACTCAGTGATGCTCTTGTGTCAGCCTCCCCAGTGCAGGCATTACACATGTGCACCACCACGCCTGGTTTTGAGCCAGCACAGTGCTTGGTTCCGGAGCCAGCAAAGCATGTGGTACTGGGGATCAAACTCAGGTCCTTGTGCTTACCAGGCAGGTGCTTTAGACTGTTGAGCTAACGGCCCAGCCAGAAGCAAAACATTTTTGTTATAACTCCCTTTTTTTGCCTTTGATTTTTCCTTGATAATGTGTAGCAGTAATTAGAGAACTGTCAGGTAGAGGTGCGTGAGTAGGGAGTAGGGAGGGGAGGGACTACATGGAGCAAAAGTTTATATACTACTTGTCACCGCTCCGGAGCAGGCTGAGACAGCAATTGAGACTGGGCGGGGTGGCACGTACCTGTAATTCCAGCTCTTGGGAAGCTGTAAACAGGAGGATCACTAGGAGTCTGATATAGTAGTGAGACCCTGAACACCCTGTAGATCCTTCCCTAAAATACAAAAAAATAAAATAAAATA